TTTTGAATCAAAAATTTAAAGAAGTATTTACGATGCAAGAGAACATTGCTATCAATGAATCAGATAAAAATCAATTCAATTTATTAAAATCAAATGTATTTATAAAATCATGTATTTTAAAATCAAAATGTATCATTAAGTACAATAAGGCAATAATTGGAATTGATCGACAAGATCAAATGTTAGCGTGTTTCCCTGTGATAAAGAAATATGTGAAAGAATTATGCTGAATATAGAATTGAAATAGCGGAATCATTAATAAAAAATATACCGTTACCAGAGTATAAACGATTATCGAACGAAAATTTATCAGAAAGACTGTACACGAAATATTGGGGTTATTTTCCCAACACATAAACCTAATACTATCGAAATCAAAACCAGCAAGAAGCTGTAAATTTTGTACAAAACATAAAAAGTAGCGAAATAACATACAAGTGCAAAACATATAAAGTTAGATTAATATGTATCAATACGTTTTGAAAAATACCACATAATCGAAGATTATTAAATTTTTGTAAATTTTATCAAGACATTAATAATAATTTAAAATATGTATTTATTTAGAAATTCTAATAAAAATGTTATTTTATGATTTATTATTCACTTCAAAATAATAAATTTTTTTTGTTCAATGATCATTTGATAATAATTATTTATTAAACATCTTGGAAAATAAAATTAGTTGTACTTTATACGTGGATTTACATATCAAAGATATGATGTGATTTGAATAATTTCGAAAGCTCAGTCAAAGTGTGAAATGGCACGACGTGAGACCGATATTTTTGTTATTATGGCATATGCTATTGGAAATCGTAAAACAAGTTAAAATTGAATTTTAATTAAATATTTTATTACAGATCATATAAAAATGAAAGAGAATATCGAGAATATCGAGAAACATCGAGAGAACGATCTCGAGATAGAAGAGAACGAGAAAGATCTAGAGAACATAGAATAATTCCATCTTATATTGAACAAATTCCTGTTCCTGTTTATTATGGGGTGAATTTATTTTTTATTTATTTTACTTATTTTTAATTATGAAAAAAAATTTTTTTAAAATATTAAATTTTATTAGAATTTTCCACCAAGGCCAATAATGGTTAGACCTTGGGTTCCAATGCGTGGCCAAGTACCAGGATCTAGGCATATTGGTCCATTAACACCATTTCCACCACGATTTATTCCTCCAGATATGTATAGACTTCGTCCACCTCCAAATCCTAGTATGTTTATAAATTTAAATAATATATATGTATATAAAGTGTTGTATTAATTTTTCATGTTTTATTTAGGATTTGGACCTATGTATTAATGAAAAATGTGAAAATCTTATAATAGAAAGTTATATGAATAATGAATAATGAATTGAATAATATTGAATAATAAAATATGAGATGACATTTGACAAAAAATAAGAATTCTAAAATCTCATGGTCATGATCGAAATTGGACAACTGATGGCTCACAAGTCAACTATACATTATTTCGTTTGTACAAAAAATTGTAAAAAAATGTCTTCTTTCATACTTTTAAAGAATTTTGTTTTTAGATGATTCAAGAATTTTTCCTCCATTAATGAAGTACATAATAAAATTTTTTAATTGTTTCACTATTTATAATCATATTTCATATATTTTGTTTTACGTAACTATATATATAATAATGGTTAGTATATTTATGCTAAAAATCAATTAATTAAAAGTCATACAATTCCTCGAAGAAAACGAGGAGAACTGTTTAATTGAGAATCAGAGAGCTCACAGAAAGGAAAAAGTTAGTAG